TGTACATAGTGAATACAATCTGTACATAGTGAACACAATTTGTACATAGTAAACATATTCTGTGCATAGTAAACACAATATGTACATAGTAAACACAATCTGTACTTAGTACACACAATCTGTACATAGTAAACACAATCTGTACATAGTAATCACAATCTGTACATAGTAAACACAATCTGTACATAGTGAATACAATCTGTACATAGTGAACACAATTTGTACAAAGTGAACACAATCTGTACATAGTGAACACAATCTGTACATAGTGAACACAATATGTACATAGTAAACACAATCTGTACATAGTGAATACAATCTGTACATAGTGAACACAATTTGTACAAAGTGAACACAATCTGTACATAGTGAACACAATCTGTACATAGTGAACACAATATGTACATAGTAAACACAACCTGTAGATAGTGAACACAATCTGTACATAGTAAACACAACCTGTGCATAGTAAATACAATCTGTACATAGTAAACACAATCTGTACTTAGTAAACACAATCTGTACATAATGAACACAATCTGTACATAGTGAATACAATATGTACATAGTGAACACAATTTGTACATAGTAAACACATTCTGTACTTAGTGAATACAATCTGTGCTTAGTAAATACAATCTGTACAGAGTAAACACAATCTGTACATAGTGAACACATTCTGTACATAGAAAATACAATCTGTACATAGTAAACATATTCTGTAAATAGTAAACACAATCTGTACATAGTGAATACAATCTGTACATAGTGAACACAATTTGTACATAGTAAACATATTCTGTACATAGTAAACACAATATGTACATAGTAAACACAATCTGTACTTAGTAAACACAATCTGTACATAGTGAACACAATCTGTACATAGTGAATACAATATGTACATAGTGAACACAATTTGTACATAGTAAACACATTCTGTACTTAGTGAATACATTCTGTACATAGTAAACACAATCTGTACATAGTAAATACAATCTGTACATAGTAAATACAATCTGTACATAGTAAACACAATCTGTACATAGTGAACACAATCTGTACATAGTGTACACAATATGTACATAGTAAACACAATCTGTACTTAGTAAACACAACCTGTACATAGTAAACACAATCTGTACATAGTGAATACAATCTGTACATAGTGAACACAATTTGTACATAGTGAACACATTCTGTACTTAGTGAACACAATCTGTACATAGTGAACACAATCTGTACATAGTGAACACAATATGTACATAGTAAACACAATCTGTACATAGTGAATACAATCTGTACATAGTGAACACAATTTGTACAAAGTGAACACAATCTGTACATAGTGAACACAATCTGTACTTAGTGAATACATTCTGTACATAGTAATACAATATATACATAGTAAACACATTCTGTACTTAATGAATACATTCTGTACATAGTAAACACATTCTGTACTTAGTGAATACAATCTGTGCTTAGTAAATACAATCTGTACAGAGTAAACACAATCTGTACATAGTGAACACATTCTGTACATAGTAAATACAATCTGTACATAGTAAACATATTCTGTACATAGTAAATACAATCTGTACATAGTAAACACATTCTGTACTTAGTGAATACAATCTGTACATAGTAAACACAACCTGTACATAGTAAATACAATCTGTACATAGTAAACATATTCTGTACATAGTAAATACAATCTGTACATAGTAAACACATTCTGTACTTAGT